TTTTAGTTTAATTTATAAGAAATTAAACATTTATAAAAAATAGTTTTGAGAACTGGAAACTTTTTGCATGCATGCTGTGAAAATTTATTAATGCAAATTAGCATATGAGACTTTGAAAGAGAGCTTTATCAAGGGGATTGTCTTATAAATGGGCTTCAGTTTCTGCAAGACAAAGACTGATGTGTTTTCGTACAGAAATATTGCATAAGCACTTATTCCTACATTTCTTAATATTAATGTCTTGGCTTCTCATGTATGGGGGTGTCAAGTGAAAAGTATTACCTTTTTCTCCATTCAGTTGCAATAGGTGTTCAATGGGTAGTTTCCAATTTTGATGACTTTGCATTAGGAATCTTTCACCCTGCCTGTCACAGAAGGCTTGTTTTCCTCTTCCCATTGCCAGTTTATCATATACTAGAAAGCCAAGAAGACAGAAGAATGAAATAGAAGTATCAGCATCTATTCAGCATCTTCTTTCTTTTACACATTTAGTATTGGTGGCAATTACACACTTGTGGTAGAAATTAAAAAGTATCAATAATAGTGCCAGCAGTGAACTATAACTGGGACCTCCTTGATATGCTGTAGTGTGGCTGGTCATGTCATACTGCAAACAACATTGCATATTAAGTCAGGTTGTGACCTATCAAATTTTAGCTGGTCATTACATCTAAACCCATTCTGTAAAGATGCTATAGTTGGTTTTCCAGTAACAACCCACAGTTAGTTAGAAGCTGACTAATGTTTACAGTTCTATACATCCAAATGAAGCATTCTGGCTAATTCCTGATTGGTTTTTACACTCCATCCATTGGGAAATAGATGGGAGGCAAGAGTAATTAAGAAACTGAGATTGTCCCAAAGATTTATTTGTTTTTCTTGGCACTTCTCCTGAACTAACCCTCCTGCTACAAACAACCTAGCAACAGGAGTCTGTCCAGTTGCCTACCTTCTAAAATAGAGAGTAGCTAGTTTCATAACTGCTATTAGAGCAGAAGGAGATTCAAAGGGACCACCATAAAGTAAAAAGTTGCTTAATAGAACTTCATGTTCCAATCACCATGTTACTGTCTGCAGATAACCTTAACTTTTACAATCTCAGCAGTATAAATACTGCAGTATGAGAATGGGATTTGTTTGTTGCTTAACTCTCCAGTCTTGGTGAAATATCTTTCAAGAGATGTTTGAAGGAGAACTCCCAACTTGCTGACCAATTAATGACCCTAGAAAAGATATCTGCTGTTGTTTGCTTCTCTAGCTCTCCCAGAAGGCTAATATACTTTGATTAAAAGCTAGGCTTTTTACACCATGGGATGCCAAACATTAGCTAGAGTTTAATAATTTGAACTCTTCCCCATCAAAAAGTACCCTCCTATTTTCTTCTGAGAAGAAAATCAAAGTGAAAATTTGAAATGCACTGAACTTTGTGGAAATTATGGTAATTCATTGGGAGCTTTATTTTTCCAAATACATAATTGTATTTTATATCTGTTGTACATAAGTAGTTCTACCACCACACCCAATCTGTAGCTTAGACACAGGATTCCCTGGCATTTGCTTTCCTAGCATCTGCATTCCAAGGCATTCTGTAACTATGCAGTCCCAGGGTTGTAGGCCAAGTATTGAACCATAGAGATGGGGAGGGCTCTTTTAATGATTCTAGAGATATAGTAAGGATTCCAAAATTAATTGTAAAATGGGGTTGTAGCAGCACAGATGACTGAGAAATGTTCTTGAAAGATTTCCATTGTACTTTATTCAGTGCAGGATGAAAATGAATGCCTTGGGGGGTGGGGTGGGGGGAACTGAAGTCATTACACAGACCAAATGTTCAAACATGGAACCCAAATCATGTTCTTTACAAAATGTTAACAGCTATTATCATGGCTATGAAGAATATCTTGCTTTCATTATGGGCAGACTGATCACTATAACTAAGAAAGCCAGTGTCAACTCTTTGGACATCTTCACAGCCACCTGCTACTTAGCCAGTGTATCTAAGCTGCCATAGCTTTTATATCAGACCTGCTTGGTGGTATATATGTTCCACTGTTGCCAGAAACCTGGGGGCAGGTAGAAAAAAGAGAGTGACAGTATCCCAGAAGAAGGAAGAGGTATCCCATACAACCTAGTGTATTTGGATAATAACTTTCTCAGGAAAACTTTACTCCCTGGGAGGAAGAACTGCCCACTCACTGCCAAGAAGAGGTACAAGAGTATCTGAACAGTGACAGTAAGAATGACAGTAAGAATAGATGCTCTATTGTTCCCCTTAATTATTTTCAATAAGGGGGAAAATGTAATGTATAAGGGGAAGAAGTTTTAAAATCTCATAGCATATCTCTTTCCCATCCTAATGCTCCCTTCAGAATTATTCTGTGGTTGGATTCACACATTGTTTTAAGCCTTAATGTGGTTTGTTTGGCTTTGGCTTACTGTGGATTTATGAAAACATTGTGGTTTATATGCCATCATCCATGATTTTGTTGTGTTAACCAAACTAATGGTGCTTTATTTATTAAACCGGATTAAGCTGTGGCTTTGTATGAAGTGTGAACCTAGGGCTTGGTAATGGAGAGGAAGCTTCTGTTATGGGGGAACGGGGAATGGTTTAAATTAGTCCTATGCTATTCTGTTTGGAACATAACTCTGTAACTATTTTAATACTGTGCTCTCAATTTAGACAGTAATAGTGGGGCAAAAGGGAGACTGTTGTTTTTAATTTATAACATGCATCAAATCTGTCCCTAGGTTTAGCATTTACTTCTAGATAATGTTCATGCCTGGGCTTCAGCAAACACTTAAACTAATCTAGCCCTTTCTTAACTACCCTTACAAAAGACAGATCTAAATCCAAAGGTTTGCCTAGTATGTTTTACTTACCTTCCATTCAATAGGTAATGTCTACTGAAAATCTCAGGTGTCAGAGCAGTGTTGAATTAAGATTCCCAGTGGCTGAAGGTGGGGCTTCAGTACCCTGAAGAATTGCTCACTCATAATCAAATATTCCTCAAAGTCAAGATCTTCATGATAAGCTATCTTTTAATTGCATCATAATGATATCTGATATCATGAATGAGGATAGATTTATGCTTTATAATCACAAACATATTTTAAAACAATCTTTTGTGATGTATTGTGAGTTTTGTGATTTAAACTTTGGTTTATTTCATTTTGTTTTTAACAATATGGTACTTTTTTGGTCTGAGATTCCAAATAATAAGACCTTTTGAAGTAATAAATATCACATAATATAGGCATTGTAATTTAGATTGCTTCTATTAGTAGTTTTAATCTTTGTCTCCACAACTTCATTTAACTAATTTTAGTAACTTTAGTCATTACTAATTCTGGTTTGTGGTTTTAAATTGTAAGTAATGCAGAGGCATAAGATATATATCTCCAGTTAATTAAAGTTAGGTACATGATCCAATTGCATTATCTTAAGCAAAAGTTGAGTTGTAAAATCTTTCTCTAATATACTTCAGTTATTCAATTATTAATAAATTAATAATATATTACATCTTGAGATACACAGTTTGTTGTTGCAATAATCAATCTGTATCCTGCTAAATGGTTGCTTTAAATAAGTGACCGATGTCTTGGGTTTGTTTGTTTTTTTAAACTGATCAAATGTCTTATTCTACTTTACATTTTTCAGAACTGAATCCTGGGATATTGAAACCAGGCTTCCAGACAAAACTCTTGGTAGCTCTTGTTTAAGTCATTTGTTACTAACAATTTTGCAGAAGATCCCTATACATTTAGTTTTTGTTTTGTGTGTGTGTTTTAACAGAATATTCTCCTTTCTGGATGTGGTCACTCTGTGCCGCTGCGCTCAAGTCTCCAGGGTAAGAATGTTTGCATTCTAGTACTGGTAAGGCTTTTTCTCTCGGGTATCCCCAGGTTGCTGTCTTGAAACCCAGGAATCAAATCAAATCAAATCAGATCTTTATTATGGTCATAGACCAGCATATGAAACCCAGGAATGTGTCAGCTTTAAGTAATATTTCAGTGTGAGTCCGTGTTCTCCCACCCTCTCTGCAGTTTATGCGTTTGTAACAGTATCAAAAACTTCCACTCATTGTTACTCTGACATGCAGACTCTCATGTTGCTTGGCTATGGAAAATGGTGGGCCTGCAGTTGATGCATTCTCTTTTCCTGTAATTCATGTTCACAGGTCCAGGGTAGCAAGAATTCTGGATGGGTGTGGGTGGGGGAGGGCTTGCATAATGGACTTTATACATAGAGAATGCAGAGATCTCTAGGTGAGCTAATACTTGGCTCCAATAATTAAATGCTTGGCTAGGAAAAAAAAATCATAAGATGCTCAGGCTCATATTGTGCTAGACGTCATCAGGAATGGAATTTTAAAACTGGAGATCAGTTACTGAGAACACTTTCCTACGTGCCTGTGTGATTCATTTGTCTCATATACATGCACATGAAGGAAATCTTCAGAGGAGATCTTGTTTAGCAGTGAATGGGATAGGTGAACAGCGCGGCACAGTTATTATAATTCACAATGTGAATTTGGTAATGTAATTTAATGATCCTGGTTTATTCTGTAGCACATTCTTAATATGTGTCTATTACAAGTTTTCCCAACTTGCTGCCTTCCAGATATATTGGACTTCAATTCCCATAATTCCCAATCAATGAGACTGCAAAAACCTGAATGTGGATATTGGGAGTAGTTGTCCTACACTTTTAGAGAATACTGTGTTGGGAAGGTTATCTTAACTTTTAAAGGTTCCTTCATACATTTGATAAAGAAGGGGGTAGCTCCATGTTAAATTAATGCTCTATAGCTGCAGAGTAGATACATTCCAGGTTAGGGTTTGTAAAAAAAAAAAAAGTATTGAGAATAAAACTGCCATATTGCCATGTATTTATACATGTATAAAATTGTATGTCTATGGAATATGGTTTTATTGCTCTGATTGCCCCATCTTAAAAAAAGAATGAAGTGCAAAAAGGGAAATCAAATTAGTCAAAAAGGTTGGAATATTACAGTCTAGGGCTGTGCAAATCCTTTAGAACAGTACTTTGCAGTACCTGGTCCATGCATGTAGAGGCAAATTGGAGCAGCTTCTAAAACAGCTGCACAAGCCTGGAAAAAGGCACAACTGCTTTAATGATTCACAACTCTTTTGAAGGATTTGCATAACCTTGTCGGAGTCAGTAAAATCTGCACTGGGAGACATAATTGTGAAAAATAAGCTTTGCTTGGAAGCACTATTGCAAAAACAATAAGAGTTTAAAGGATTTTTGAAAGTATGAAATAAAGTATGAGTCTCATCAAACAATACACACATCTTTTTGAAAAGGGGAAGCAGATATATAATCTGTTCACTGATTGAATTAAAGCTTCTTTGCAGCTTTTCATACTACATAAGAAAGCCTCTCTGCTGCTTTAAACATCTGGGCTTTTGATGATAATATCATCTGAATTAAACCAAAACAAGGTAATCCAGGCAACTGTGTTGTACATTGCATTATTATATTCATTACACAGAGCCTTCATTCCTAAAGGGTCATGAGGTATTATTATTTGGGAAATGGAAGTGTGGAAGAGTCAGCTGCAGGTTGTTCATGCATGTGTGTGTGTATCTTCTGTAATTTCTTAGATATTCCAAATGTAAGGATTTAAATGGTTAGCAACGGAAAGATTAACTCACAACTGATTTGCACATTGTTTTAAACTTATATATGTTTAGATTTTTTGTGCTTGAATGTATTGGATCTCATGAGGGAGTACCTCACTGACAGTATTATACTTACTAGAGGATAGCAGCTTTGGTGTGGCTTAAATGAGTACAGAGGTTTTATCTGCCTTCAATTTCCCCATATTGAGAGGTATATATCTGACATTTTTTCAACTTTCCATCAATTTCATTACAGGCATGGAATGTCCTAGCTTTGGATGGTAGCAATTGGCAACGCATTGACCTGTTTGATTTCCAGAGGGACATTGAGGTATAATTAAGTGACATGCAAAAGATTTTCTCTGGTTAAACTATAATTACTGTGCTACCTCAGATTAGTAACAAACCATGTCATCTTTTGCAGATCTCCAGAGAAAAATTGTTAATTTTTACTCCTAGTTCCTAAGAGCCTCTATAGTATAGTGCTTTAGATGGTAAAATTACACTGATTTATACTGTGTATGTTTATCTTTGTATGAATGTATTCAGTATGATCTGTGCACAAAGACATATATCCCTAATCTGAAAATATTTCTATTAAACAAAAATCCATTATGTGTGAGGAAGTAATAATCCTCTCAATTTGAACATTGTGCCTTATAATTATATGAATATTATATCTTTGAGGTATATCTACCATTGAGCAGTATGAGGTGACTTGCTTCAAGCGTAGAGGTTTGGGGTACCATTAAAAGTCACCATATTAAAGGTTATTTGGTTTAGATTTTTAATAAATAAATAGTAGTAAGGGTACCACTTGGATTTTTTATCTTGGACACTTAAAACAGTCTCTAGGCATTTCTCCTTATGCAGTTCTTTATATGACAATTATTGCTGTAAGGATGAACCTCAGTAGAAAAAAAATTACCAAAGCTGCATGGACTTTGAAAAGTAGTTAGCTGTGGTGTTTTGCCCCTTGTAAATGTGTCTGAATATTTTCTCGGTGCTTCTAGCCAAAGTAGCTAATTTTGGCCTGCCTAGCACCCAAGTCTGTGCTACTGAACAAAATACCTCTATTGTTTCCATCACAAACTGTAACAGAAAGCCAAAGTCAGCTAAGAAAACCAACCCTTGACCTTCCACTCCCCCGATATAATCATATGATCCTGGAATGCATGATTATGTGATTAACTTAGCTGCAGGGTCTTTTCCAGGCACAAACTGAGAATATAGCACAATAAACAACATATAAGGTGGATTGAATGACAGCATACTAAATTATGATTTGTGCTTATGCTTGAAAATATTCAGTTGACCAGTTTCCCACAGAGAGGAATCTTAGTACCACAAGCATAGCACATACAATATAAGCTTCAGCTTCTATGAACTGATCCTAGAGACACCTGTTTTTGAACCCAATAAATGCAGGCATTCCACAGAGCATAACATCTTGAATACAGTTTAAATGTACAGCCCAAATATGAAGGAGGATAGCAAGGTATGATAAAAATAGTATCAAATAGGAAAGGAGGGCTTTAAAGAAAGTTGTTTTGCTGCATGTAAAATTAAGCAAAGAGAATTAATTTAGAAGATTCTCTTCCTGGTCTTCTTCTTACAGGGGCGTGTAGTAGAGAATATTTCTAAAAGATGTGGAGGATTCCTTCGAAAGCTGAGTCTACGTGGATGCCTAGGTGTTGGAGACAACGCATTGAGGTAAAGAGGTCAACACAAATTATTTAACACTAGCTGAGAACTGGGCATGAGAGGATAGGGCAGTTAACTAATTTTGGGTATAAAAACTGAGGCTGCAACATCCTCAGATATTTGATTTCTGTGTTATCATAATTATCTGTAAGACCAAACTGGAGTATAACTTTGATGCTGTAGGAGGAAAGCATCCTTTCTCTCTCCTGTCCTCCAGACCAGCCCTGTACAACTTGTGGAGGGGAAAGGGTCACATTGATAAATTAAAAATCCTTGTGGGCCACAAAGAAATACCAGGGGTGCCAATCAGCTGTTCCACGACTAGTGGAGAGGCGGAAGTATTGGAACTTGGCAACATGTGTTTTGGGGCAGCAGCAGCTGTAAACTTACCACTTTTTAAAAAAATGGTGGGCTGCACAAGGCCACTTGACGGGCTGTATGCTGTGCAAGCCTGCTCTAGACCTTTCCCATCTCCACACAACTTTAAGTACAACATACATACAACAAGACTTAGTTCTATGTAGTGATGTAATGGTGAAGCTTTTAGGAAATGAGATAGAGAAAAACCATTTTATTTATTTAGCAAATTTATATAGCCGTCCATCTCACAAACGTGACTCTGGGCAGCCATGTTTTAAAACAGTTAAAAACAAATATAAACAACTATTAACAACAATTAGACATAAATATAAAACTAAGATTGCGGGAGAGTGGACAACATTCTACATACAACACAGACTGGCTTCAGCTTTTATCTGGAACAGTCCTCTTAGGAGTTTGGAGCATACTGAAATACTTGGCTGTATGGCCTGACTATAGATTATGATTGAATGAGCATAGAATTCTCAGCTTAGATTGAGAAATGTTCTGCTTCTGTCCTATGCTTCCCCAAGTCACTCCTGGTAAGATATATAATATCCATTCTATTGCTTAGAGTAACTAAAATAAATACGTATCAATCCAGTAATGCTTACTCCAATAGTGGTTGGTGTTCATATGGTACATAACCCCTGGACTCCTACTTTTGTATCATTTCAAATATAATTTAAAAATAGGGGCTCAAAATTGGTAGAAATTCATTCTATCTGAAAAATATGATTAGTAGAGTTGTGTTTGGTGTTTTTATTTTGCTTCCTGAAAGAAATTGGGTATTCTCCCTAGATATTATCAAAATACCACTTAAAGTTTATGTTGCTGACTTTACTTTCCAGTGCATATGAGACTTTTTAAAAGTCAAATCATTGCTATAAAATGTGCCATTAAAAGCCTGAAAGAATGTATACTTCTTTGCATGAAGGACATTTGCACAGAACTGCAGAAATATTGAAGTGTTGAATCTAAATGGCTGCACCAAGATTACAGACGCGTAAGTGACATTTATTTTGGAGCTCTGGAATATTGCATTAGCTGTTTAAAACCTCAGTCTTATACCACTTAACTGAAAGTAAGCTTCATTGGAAATCAGTAGGTCTCCTCAGCAGACATGTCTAAGATTGTACTATGATTCCTCTCCCCAAATGATCTCCCCTGCCCCTCGCCCCTTTTATTGTTAATTTGCTCATATGGTATTTTCATGTAATACTCTATTTCTTATTTCATGAGTGAAGAAGGATGTTGGGGTGGGATTATAGTAAATTGGTGGTGGGGCTCACCTTAATCTCCTTATCCTTACCCATATCCACACAGAGAATTATATGGCCTACATCCACCCTACACAGGGTCTGTGTTCACTTTTTGATTAAGCAGGACATCAGAGGCTGACATGCCAAGTGGTTTGGAAGAATCAATTGTGACTATCAGTTTTCTAATAGATGGGAGGGGGGATATTATAAATTTAAAACATACATGTAATTTCAGTAAAAGTAAATTTAATTGAGCAGAATTCTGACTATCTCACTTTGGATTATTTGGAAAACAAGCTCATATTGCTTGTTCTCTGCACTTCTTTATATAATCTAAAATAGAACTTTCTTGTCTTCCCTAGGGAGATGCCTGGATTTTTTCTACATCAAAAGCTTGAATGTTTTACCATTTGGGGAATGAGAGATGAGAATGTTCTGTTTAAAATTAAATACAGAATGTTACAGAGGTTTATTTAGTGTAATCTCCCATTTGTAAATTTCCAATGTTTTCAACTATTTCTGTTTTTATTTCTTATAAGAAAATTCATTGAGGAAGTTGAGATGGAATAGCAGCACAATATCTTTTAATTGCTGGAGTTAGCTATTGGTATCCATATGAAAATGTCTCCAATGCTTTTTCCTATTTTTTTTTTTTAATAAAAGCACAATGAACCTGTGGGTATTCTATTTTCTTCCAGTACATGCACTAGCCTTAGTAAATTTTGCTCAAAGCTACGGCATCTTGACCTAGCTTCCTGCACATCAGTAACCAACCTGTCCCTCAAAGCACTGAGGTGAGTGTTCAAGATTGTTCATAAAACTAACTGCTTGAACTAGGTTAATAAATGTAGACACATAGACATTTGTTTTAAATATGTACGGTCCCTTTGTGATGCATTTGCTCTCTTCCCTGTCCAATGTGCCTGAATTACTGATAATATTGGAATTGGCCCAGTTTATAAGGAAGAAATATGTGGTTCTTTTGTAGTTAATCTAGCTCGTGAGACTCAAGTGGGACACAGGATGACTTTTTATATGCCAGTAGGCTGTTTTCTGATCCCAGGACAGTCCCTAAATCTGGGATTTTTGATAAGTCTTTCAGCAGTCGTGATCAGCAAGCCTTACATTGGGAATAACAGAAAATATGCACACAGACAACTATCAGTCAAATCAGAGATGCTGTCTTATCTCAGGTCCCTAATGGCAGGATGCAAAAACATGCCAATCCCTTCCTTCCAGCCTTATTCCTATAGCTATTCTGGTTGTTCCAGCTATAACTTTCAATTGGGTTTTCTATTAAGGCTGCATCAGAGAACGAAGCTGTTAACAGTTTAGAGCAATAAGCATAAGCAAGGGATAACATCTCTTGGTTCTTGAAGCAAGATGTTTAGATTTAACATAACTACCTGCATTTTCTTTCTGTACCCATCCCTTTTCCCCTCCCAGTGAGGGGTGCCCTCTACTGGAGCAGCTCAATATCTCATGGTGTGACCAAGTGACAAAAGATGGCATCCAAGCTTTAGTGAGAGGCTGTGGTGGACTCAAAGCTCTGTTTCTGAAAGGCTGCACACAGGTACTGTATAATATCCACTGAAAGCGCAACAGTGTAGAAAACTGTTGGCTGAGCTTGATTTGTTTCATGTAGACAAATGACAGCGTCTCATGACTCACAAGACACTGAAAATTAGAGAAAGAATAATGCTAAAGAAACAAGATTATTCATCTATTTATTGTTTTGTTTTGTTGTCTCAGTCTATCCAAAAGTGTTATACTAATGATTTACAATTTGTTCTTTAAATCAGAGCATTACAGGTAGTCCTTGAGTTATGACAGCAATTGGGACCTGAATTTCCATTGCTAAGCGATGTGGTTGTAAAGCACAGCATCATGTGCCTGCATCGCTTAGCGACAGCAATCCCAGCAGTTCCTGTTGCCAACTTTAAGCGAGGATCTCAGGTTGTTAAGCAAGAACCTCATGTGACCGTGACTTGCAACTTCCTGCCAGCTTTCAACGAGCAAAGTCAGTGGGGAAGCCAGCAGGAAGTTGCAAGACCTGGTCATGACAAGCCTTTCCTCAAGCAGCTTGCAAGCAAGCTGGAGGGCGGATAAGCGCTGTGGAGTGCAGCCAGGTGGGGATGGGGTGCTGCAGCATGAGTGTGGCTGGGTGGGTGCTGTGACACAGTGTGAGTGCAGGCAAGCAGTGTGAGTGCAGGAGGAGCACAGCACTAGTGCGGGCAGGCAGAGGGGTTGCTGCAGGTGTGTGTGTGTGTGTGTGTGTGTGTGTGTGTGTGTGTGATGGACTCCATAACAGGGCTCCTCAGAGAAAAAGTGGTAGGTAGGAGCAACTTGCAACCTTCCCTGATGGCTTTTCCATTGACTTTGCTTGTGGGAAGCTGGCAGGGAAACTCGTAATGGTGATCATGTGACTGCAGGACACTGCAACTATTGTAAGTACAAGCTGATTGCCAAATGCCAGAATTGTGATCACATGACTCTGGGGACATTGCAACGGCCACAGCTTTGCAGACCAGTCATAAGTCCCCCTCATTCAGCACCATCGTAACTTTGAATGGTTGCTGAACAAGTAATCATAACTTGAGGATTACCTGTACTTTATACCCAATTATACACATATAAAGCTTATGGTGCAGGGCTTGGGGAAACTTGTTATATTGAGCATAGAACAACTGCCTTTGTTCAAAGGGTTGGGTTGGAAACCAACTACCACGATTGTTAGTGTTTCCATGCCAGATTTACAATTTTATGCATTTTACTGGAGAGCGTGGGTATATGAAAATGGACAAAGCTGAGTATTATTTCCACTATATATCATAGACTTATGCATGTAGGTGTCCTTCAGATATGTTGCTTGCAATTTCTAAAATGCCCAGTCAGCGTTGTTTGTATTGTTTGGCAATCCTGAGAATTGTAGGCAACATGTCCACAGTGTACCAGCTTGGGGAAAGTGAATGTGTTCTGTTTCTAAAACAAATTTGGTCAGTTTACCAAGATTTTGCCAGATGTGAAGTTCAAAACTGAACTTGTTGAACAGTGAACAGGTTGTCTTAACTGTTTTTTTTTCTTTGTAAGTTGTGTTGATGCTTCCTGTGCAAACTTAAATAGTATGACATTCCTGGGCACATTTAAGTCATCATTAATGTAACACTTCAAGTAGCCCAAGAAGTATCAGTACAAATTATAAAGGAAGAAACTATTGTTGAGAGATTTAGCAAATGCAATCTTAATTTTAGATTCCAGTTCTTTTTTTAAAAGAAATATGAGCAGTTTTTTAAATTATCACATTCTAAGAAAAATATTGATGACACTAAGGCCCGTAATCAATTATTTGTCATTTGTTACCCTTCATTCAGCGACATTTATATTAGCAAAAATAATATGTGTGCATTTTCTGCTTTATGGAAAACATCTTTGTTTTCCCTTTGAAATAAAATATGAGTTGAAGCCCTTAATTCTGCACTCCTAATTTTTGAGGAAGAAATTCTGGAACTATTATGCCAGGGATAGCATTTGCTGTTACACTCATAGGGCAGAGATCGGGAATTCATTTGTAGCCAGAGGTCATACTTAATTGGTGTTTGTATAATACAGATACTCCTTGTTTAATGACTACAATTGGAACCAGCATCTTGGTCACTAAGTGACATGGTTGTTAAGTGGAAAATCATTGTGACCATGACTGTGCTTACGATTTTATTTCAGCCTTCCTTTTTCCCCCACTCCCCCACCCTTTGAAATGCCCACCCTGATGCTGGGGTAATTAGCAAGAAGTGAATTAATGTTTGTATTTACATTCATTGCAGAAGAAGGGATTATGAGAGAGTAAGCAGACACACAATGGGGAATACACATTGAAAGGAATGCACTAGCACCAGCTGTTTGCCAGGTGCACTCGGGGCTGCAAGCACTAGCGCATTCCTTTCAATGCGTATGACCCGTTGTGTACCTCCTTACTCTCTTGTAATGCCTCCAATCTCTCTGCTCTGCAAGGGTGGAAAAAAGAAAAAGGGTGAGGCACCGGACAACGCATACTAACTGACTGTAATGGCGAACACATGACTGAGAGAGAGACGCTATGAAGATCATAAATGGGGGCATTGGCTGCAAAGTTATTTTTTTAGCACCATTATAACTTTGAACAGTCACTGCACAAGGCAGCCAGTAAGCGAGATCTACCTGTATATATTTTAAGCAACATACGCTCAAAATTTCAGGGGTTGCAGGAATTATAGTAATGAGTTAATGACATAACAATGTTTGCAGCTTCTTTTGGGTAGGTGTTTTTTTTTTTTTAAAGGAGACCAGTGAAAAGAAAATTGTTTTGTTATAAGTAAATATTGAAATGTGTCACCAAATTTCTGGGTTTTGCTGTGAATTGCAGCATCGTGATCTCTAGTGGGGCAGGAATAAGAAAAACAAGATTGACTGCCCTCATGCTATAAATGAAAAGTACAACGAACAGACCTAGGAAATTGTCTATTTTCTCCTTTTCTGTCCTTCTCCTCTTAGCTGGAAGATGAAGCTCTCAAATACATTGGTGCACATTGTCCTGAATTAGTGACTTTGAATTTGCAAACGTGCTTGGTAAGAAGTTGGCCCTTATGAATCCAGACTTTTCTCTTTTCTTATAATATGGCAGCTTTGTAAATTACCTATTTCCACATCATATGCAATGTTTTATGTTATCACTGTTGGCTTAGCAGAGTGACTGTTTATTTTATTGTAGAAAAATATGGGAGATAGGAAAGTGTTTAAAAATGTGAGCAATAAGATAAGCTGGAGGGAATGGGATGTACAGGTCAAAATTTGTACATTATAGTATCCTAGTTCAACTAGCGTTTTAATGAATCAGTTGATTTTCTTACCATAATTAGAGATTTTTTTTTTTCTGCCATTTTTCTTGTTTTGGGCTTTGTCCCTTCAGCTTTTGAATTGTAAGGACCAGTAAAGGAAAAAAAAATGCATCAAGCCTGAATCAAGGTTTAGGAGCAAATCAGGGAATTACTTAATTGGCCAACCATCTGCATTGTTAGGAAGCCTGGCTAGCACTGGCATGACCTCTTAATTTCCATATCTCCCTTGGCACCCTTCAGGTTTCCTGCTCCACCTGGCCTTGGTGTGTGTGTGCGTGTGCATGCGTGTATCTATGTATATGTATGTATATATGTGAGGGGGGCAGAGTGGTATACTGCAAAGCAAAGCATTCGTCTTTCAGCATTATGTTGGTTCCAAGAATACCTCTGAGCCACCAATGGCCCCCATAAATATGATAGATGACTACAGTCTAGTAGTTTGTTTTCAGATGTATCTAATTGACCAGAAAAAGGATAAAGATACATTGGGAAGTAAAGAGGAGGTAGCAGGTACCAGTCTGATAACTCTATCCTTTTTAATTGATTATGTTCTCCAGGGCAGCTATTTTGTGAATGGACAAGTTCCCCTAGAAGCCATTTTACAAAACTCCTATTTTTTCTCCAAATTTCAAACATGCCAACCAAACTGGCAGAGTTGAGGATTCATACTGCACTTTCTGAATCCCTTGGTGCTTCACCTGCTTTTCCCATATACACAAGAAAACCGACGTGGAAGCAGCATCTGAGTAGAATTATTGGGTAGCAAGGCTTCTTCAGTAACCCACTGATCAATATGTGTGTATTTTTGTGCGTATGTGTCCACGTGCATGTACGCTTATGCAGTATTGAAGCGGCAAACTATCCTTTATAATAATCAGCCTTCAGCTAGCATGTATAGAAGCCTTTCTTTCAAACTGCAACTTTCCTTCCATCACTATCTCTCCCCACTAATGCATTTAAAATGACAGTTTTCCTACGACTGCTTTCTGGCACCTTTCTTTTTAAAATCATATGTGGGTACTTCATACCTGATCTTTTCTATCAGCTGTCATTTTTATTCCTAGCGTAATTTGAATTTTGAGTTGGAGGATTTTAAAATACTGTTTTGGCTGTACACTTTTATGACCTGGATACTGATCTCTGACCAACCAACCCAAAAGCTACTATATTCCACAAAGCAAAACTCACTTTATTCCATCCCCAAACTCTGAAGACTGCTTGACTCCATTCAATGACTAGATGTTTTTAAACTCTCAAATTGACAGCTATTTCTCCACATATCTATATAATGAATATCACTTTAATATCTTGGAAAGTCCTCCAAAATCATTGTAATATTAGCATTTAGTCTGGTAAATCAAATGGTATTCATTTGACCTTGTACATGATTTTTTTTCAAAATTTGTTTGTAGAACAGGCTGGAAAATTTTTTTTATTTTGAACTGCCATGCTTTGTTGGTCTTGTCTGTTTTTTTTTTTTTAAACATGTTAAAAATACAGTCTGGAAGAGGAAGTACATTTTTTTCTTCCAAGAAAATATCCTGAACCAGTTTGTGGTGGTGCCAAAAATGGAACATTTATCCAAAAAAGGAACTGATTTGGGGCGGTTGTATGCAGTTGTCATTCTGGTTTTTCATGTGATAGTTTGCCAAATAGTCATCCATCCAAATGTTTCACTGACAAATCCTTTTTAACATTTAATTTTAGAATTTACAGAGTAAATTGGACACAGCACCACCCCAAACCTGCTTCTCACTATGAATGATTGACTCCCTTTCCTTTTCTAGCAAATAACAGATGACGGCCTCATTACAATATGTAGAGGATGCCACAAGTTGCAATCTCTGTGTGCTTCTGGCTGTTCCAACATCACTGATGCCATCTTGAATGCATTAGGGCAAAATTGTCCAAGACTTAGGTAAGTAGGCTTCTTCTTTGTGGTCTCTGTGATTCACACACATGGGTTATGTGCTTGCTCAGAACCTTTTGGAACTTACAGAATTGTTTGATGGGCACTCTACTCTCATGCATACCATGTGACTAGGCACAGTTCCTGCTGAATCAGTTTTGACCACCATTGTGTTGCATGTTCTTCTTTGAGCCGATAATATCTCAGCATTATTGAAACACTTTACCTTTTTTTAAAATATTTTCTTTAATCTCAGTTCTTCAAAACTCCTTAGGGTTCATCAGAATTAAAAGTGTTCATCAGGAATAGGAGTGCATAAAATGTTTTTAAATTGAACCATTTCAACTTTGAAACCCCCTGTTTTGACTACAAAATATGTTTCAAGTGTGAAACAATCTATTTCAAGTGTTTTGGGAACATTTTGAGCTCAAAACACTCAAAACAACTTATATAGGTGATATGTTAGGAGCTAGAGTTTCCCAGGGCAGGAGTGTTAAAAATATAAATAACCAATTGTCACCTAGTACAAGTCATGAGAAAGGTAAATTATTTTTTCCATTAACCTATGGAAAGGACCATGTTTAAACTTCAGAGAGTATAAGATGTGAATATAACCTCAACTGTCAGAAGGAAGTCAGTTGTTTGAACTGATTTCAGTCCTTGGGTACAATAAAGATGCTTTTCTGGCTGTGTTGTGCCTTGTCAAATGTCTGGGAAGCTTCAGCAAAATTCAAGTCCACTAAGAGCCTTGACATTATTTTGATAAACATTGGCATACCCCTGTTTAGGACACCTTTTGCTCTGATTGCAGGCACCTGGTCATTGGCATTATGGCCTCGTTTCACATATGCTAACATTGGGGAAGGAAGGTTTTTTGCCCCAGTAAAGATCACTCACTAAACTCCTATAAATATTGCCAGGTGTTTACCGGTCGCTTTACAAATACAAGCCACTGTTTAGATGTAATTTCTAAGAGCAGTAGACTCCAAAGCTATTGTAGTCCCCTTGTCTTTCTCCAAGCCTCCTACCATGTACCAAACATTGTCTGGCAACTTCCTCATCTCTTTGACAGATTAATTGAATTCTCCATCACCTACAGAGGATCCTCAGGTGTCTACTGCGCATTATCACCAGCAAGGTTCACATCAGAGGTTCAAAGCTTTTTAAGAAGCCTGCTTCAACAGCTCAGTGAAGAAACAAGAAATAAAAGCTGTAGTGCTTCCCTGATTTCAGCTCAAACAGCTTTGATTTCCCCTCCTTAATGGTCTTCTCCAATTCTAGTACCATTGGCTCCATCATTGATTCTAATTTGTACTGCCCAGTTCTCACAAGTGGTTTTTAGGCATGGAAGTTGATCTTGGAAGGAGAAATTTGGGACAGATCCTGTTTCAGACTGTCCTTTCATCTGCTCCTCTAGATCCTTCAGGGTAGTCAAAACCAAGAACTCTCCTTTCAAACGTTTCAAGATTACCAAGATCTCCTTATGCTCAGGCAACCTCCAAAGGGTGTCTGTGTCTGATTTTGGTTGGTTCCATGCTGTCCTGTTCTTCTAGACAGATCATTGGTCCTCTCAGCACCAAGCCTTTCATGGCCACAATCAGTGAACCTGTACTCTTTGAACAGCTCTAGATATGAGTCAGATAATTACACATAACTTGTTTTGGCTCCATATTCTTTTCTAATTCCACCACCCAATCATGCCTAGTACCAACCACATGACAGGCAGGCTTTGTAAGCATCTCTCTCAGGATTCTTCTTTCCTCCAAGCAATTTCTTCAAGGCAGATCATGCATTTGAATTGCAGCCTGTCATCATCTCTTATCCAAAGTTTACCATCTTTCTCTCAGTCAGGCCTACATCTCCTGAGGCCATTTGATCTTAGATTTTTGTCTCCTGCTATGGGTTCTACCTGGTATATCCCCTAGTGGAGCTTCCATTGATGTCTCCAGACTTAATGATTGCCTCTCATGCCCCTTCACACTATTCAGAATTTCCTTTAACATCATCACTTGATACACCAGTTGGGGACCATTCCCCTTGCTCTCTGTAGGGAAGTACACAGGTAACTTTGAAAAAAGAATGCAAGAACTGTTAAGTAAACATCAACTTAATTCTGGGAGAGGAAAAGGGGTGATAAACTCAAGAGAAGTCTGCCTTGATTCTATTTGATATAAGAAGGGGCAAAGGGAAATCCTGGCAAGCTTTCAAGATTTTGTCATATTATTATTGTATATCCTACAATAATAAAGCAGAGTTCCAGTAGTTCTAGTAGAGTCTGCTCCCTGATCTGGCCTATCTTGAAGGGTTGAAACCAATCTTGAAAGCCTCATTACTCTTTAATCAGAGAGGCATTGAACCATGCTTTTGACTCTGAAGATGGCATCAGATCCTCAGGGCACACACAGAACAACTTGCTGAAGCATTGTTACAATATCAAGAGCAAGTGGGTATATAAATAACCTATACAATGCCGTGGTACAACACAGCACTTGGGACAAGGTTTGCCATAGCCAGGAGTCGTTCAACAGCCTGCAGCCCAATCAGTACTTATTCACTTTCATGGAAGTTTGCTGGAGAAGTTCGGGGGAGCCAGGATCAGTTTCTGATTTTCACAACTCAGTGTGAATTGTGTATGGTGGATTGGCCAACAGAATTTCCCTCAGGTCACTCTAGGTTCTGATTCTGCTGAAAGAAGGGGTAGCCATATGGGCTGTGCCCCTCACTGAGGGCAATGATCCATTGCTGGATAATTACCAGACCTTCATGAAAAGATTTCGAGAACAGCAGCAAATAAAATATTTGCAAGCTGAAACAGAGCAACTGCAGAATTCATGAGTGCATATTAGATTTTCAGTTACATACCAGAGATGTGGGGTGGAATGATCTTGTTCTAACTGACCAGTTTGAGAAGGGTGGACTGAGCGAATTGTTTGTGAGACAGAGCAAACCAGAGAATTTAGAAGAACTGTTCCAACATTTTGTGTTAATTGATAGGCAGTTGGAGGAATTGAGGCACAGAGGAAATAGGAAAGGGAGGAAGTTTTATAGCCTCCCTTTGCCCCTCCCCCCACTTCCTGTGGCTTCCTCAGACACCAACACCCCACACAAATGGGAGCAATAAAAAGATCTCTGTCTTCAGCAGAGAAACAAAGGGGAAACCTTGCTTTTTTGTTTTTACTGTGGAGCCCCAGGACATCTAGCCAAGACTTGCACACCAAAGTACAATGTTGTGAGTCAGCTGTGAAGTACTGCATCTGTGGAGCAGCAGGCTGCATAGCAAGTACGTGCCTGAATCACTCCAAAGCTTCACCTTCAGGAACTTTGCTTGCTCCACTCCCAAGAGCTTGGCACGGGGCCCTCAGCCAATTAAGAGCTCAGGGAGCCAGCAACAGGCAAATTTTATTATCCCTGCTACTCTTCGAATATCTTCAGGTTCTGAAATAAAACTCTCTACTGTTGTATATTTAAGTTGCAATAGCCAATTTCCTTAGATAAGACCACAGTGCAACTTGGTTTAAATTGCCCATCAGTTATTAGAGAAACCTGTGCTTGTAGAAACAATTGATAGGCAACTCCTTTGAACATAACACCTTTGCTACTAACAATAAATGATCATGCAGAATTTTTGCCACTGTATGTCAAAGCTTCCTTATATGCGTTCATTGTGTTGAGCATTGGTTGGTGCAAACTCATAATCCAGATGTTATCTGGGAGCAAAGAACAATTCCTTTTCTGTCTCAAAAGTGTCAACAACATAGTTTGCAGGCTTCCTACTCTCATTCTTCCTCCCCAGCATAATTCTCCAAATCCCCTTCCTTGCTGGAAAATTATGCAGAGTTTGCTGATATTTTGGGGGAGGGGGAAGCAACTACATTGTCTTCCCATTTGGCATGTGAACATACCATCCATTTGAAGCCGGGAGCCCAGATGCCAGCTAAATGGCAATATTCCATGTCTACTCAAGAATTAGCCACGTTGAAGGAGTTTCTGGATGATAACTTGAAATCAAGCTTTATTTGCCCTTCTAAATCTCCAGCATTTGCACCTGTTTTTTGTCCCTAAGGAAAATAACTGTTCATGACTATAGACTTCTGAACAGTGTAATCATTAGAGACCGCTACCCACTGCTTCTTATTTCAGATCTGCTGGTCTGCCTTCAAAAGCAAACTTTTTACTAAATTGGACTTGAGAGGTATACATAATTTGATCAGAATGAAAGAGGGCTGTGAGTATTTAATTGCCTTTGATACCAAGTATGGCATATTGGAATACACAGGTATTATGCCTTTGGGATTGACTAATCCTCCCACGCTCTTCTCCAGATTCATGAATGAAATATTTTCTGATATTTTGGAGAAATATATAGTGGTACTTGGATGGCATAATTGATTTTTTCAGAAGACCCTTCTTTGCACGAGACTCATATTAAGAGTGCTTTAGAGCGAATCCACAATCTTTTTTCTAACTTACAAAAATGTGTGTTTGACTTTCTCTAGTTGTTTCAGTACAGTACCTAATCTGATGGCTGGCACCTAGCTATGGGAAGGATGTCCAACATTTTCTGGGCTTTGTTCCTCCAGTTAACAAGCATTGTATGGTAAAATACCCCATTTTGGGGGGAAGAAAATAGTCCAATTTGTATCTCATTTGCCAGTGGATAAGAGGGTAATAATAAAATAATAAAAATAGTAATAAGATAAATCTAGATTTTTAGACAAAAACAGTATGATTTGCCAAGTAAGAATTAAATACAGATCCTTAAGTTGCAGCTTCTTCTGTCAACTTGTGTCACTATGCCTGGCTGTACTCCACTTGATTTACACAAAAGGCTTAGATTAGAATTGAGGATCGAAATTCCTCCAGTTAAGATGGATTATTCAGCATATAGACTGATGACATTTGGAGAAGCATGCAAGTGAGGGCTGCAGCAACCCCCCCGCCCCCTTTGTCCCCTCTTGCTAACATTTGTGGTACAGTTCACATCTCAACCATTCAATCTTGTTCTCTGTCCAGGGGCTTTTGCCTACTTGTCCAGCATAGTAGAGCTGTAGGAACTAGTCTTAGGGCTTCAAGTGGCATCTTTGAGTTTGATGCTCTCCTGTACTAGACTCCCAGGGTCTGTTTGCATTAACTTTCAGGGTCCATGAGTTTCTGTAATCACAGTCTTTGGGTTCTGTTGATTGTTTTGCAAAGTTACCATATTAAATTCTTTTTTAACACTAAACCAAACTACACTGTAGCTTCTTAAGGCATCACTAGACTTTTGTCAGAGGCTTCCCTCCTCCTACAAAAAGGGGATTTGAAAGCCTCCTCCCAGGGAACTGTGCTCCTTCATTTTATAGCAGATGGATTCACTTACCAATTTTACAATTAGACATTCAGTCGCCCTGCACTTGCACTTCTCTGCTTCCAGGCTATCATTTTGTTCCTAACTAGATAACTGGTCCCTAAATGCATATTTCCATGCCAAGCTATCTCGCTACATAGTTCTAGCCCTTTGGCTCCTCCTGCACATTGGCGTCCAGGTCACTTATGAGAAGGCTACCCTTACTCCTTAACAGGTTATCCTGTTTGAGCAGTGATAGATACTATCAGAAGATCTGCTTTTTTGTCTTGCTGCAGCTCTTCAGGACTTACACACAAGACCTCCTTCTTAACAAAAGTCAGAACCTACATACATCTTTAGCAATTTGGCCAAATCATGGCTGTGACTTCAGTTGTATGCTTTGTCCATCTTTGGGGGCTTTACAGTCTTACAGGTAGTCCTTGTTTAGCGACTGCAATTGGGACCAGCAACTCAGTCATTAAGCAAAGCAGTTGCTAAATGAAAAATCATGTGACCACAAGTATGCTTACAATTTTACTTCAGCTTTCCTTTGCTTTACAGCGTCAGAAGGGTACGACTCCATACAGCTGGATGAGCCCAAACGGCAGGGAAGGTTTCTGGAACTTGATTCACGAGGAAGCAAAGGGCAATTCTTATAGCCCTTTTTCCCCATTTCCCACCCTTTGGAATGCTCACCCTGGCACTGGGATAATTAGCAAGAAGAGAAGTTTGTATTTACATTTATTGGAGAGGAAGGGATTACAAGAGAGTAAGCAGGCACACAATGGGGAATACACATCAAAAGGAATGTGCTAGCACCAGCTGTTTGCCTAGGGTGGGAGCCACTGCTTAGGAAGTAAACAAAAACCTTTAGTGTGAAACTGATTAGGGTCTTGTCAGTGGCAGGCAGCAGAGAGGATTCTACTCAACTAATTAAGGTTAGGAAACTGAGGTTCTTACATTGTCATTAGTGCTTTTCAGGGATGCATTGGGCTGTAGAGAAAAGCCGCTCAGGAAGAGATAGCTTGTTTAGGCAATCTCTCTGCTCCATGGGGGGGGGGGGGGGGGGAAAAAAAAAATGGGTTGGGCACGGAACAGTGCATATTAACTGACTATAATGGCAAACACATGACTGAAAGAGATTCTGCAAAGGTCATAAATGCAGGCATTCGTTGCAAAGTTACTTTTTCATTACCATTGTAACTGCAAATGGTTGCTGTCTGGGGCAGTCACTCAATAAGGACTACCTGTTCCACTTTTCTGGGCTCAGACATATGGCAGCTCCTCCACTCAGTTCTGCCCTGCATCAAGGAATCCTTCTTCTGGTGACTGGTTTCAGTCAATCTTCTTGGAGGTATCTCTTTCACATCTCTCTTCCTAGTGGACGTCCTCATCACTGACACATCAATGCTTAGAGGAAACCCACCTATGAGCCCTCTGCATCTGTGGGTCTTGGTCAAGGTACAAAGCTTTATATTATCAGTGAACTCAAGCTGCTAACTGTGCAAAAGGTATTCCAAGCCTTCCAAAACTGTCTCTGTAGCCAAACTGCCCAAATTATATGAGACAATTCCATAGTGGTCTAGCACATCAACATATAAGGTGGCACCAATAGAAGTGAATATGTGTAGCTCAGGGTTGAACTGTGGAGTCCTTGGGGTTCTCTGAGCTTGGTGGTTTTCCTGCAAATGTTTCATTACCCGGCTAGGTAACATCTTCAGTGCTAAAATGAGCAAACCCCATTCCATTCTAGCACTGAAGATGT